ATCATATTATCATTATCATCATTATATATTATTATCATTATATATTATTATTATATTATTATATTAATATTATTTATATTCCTTTTTATTATCATCATTATTATATCATCATTATTATTATCATTATTATTATTATTATTATTATTATTATTATTTATTATATTATTATTATTATTATTATTATTATTATTATTATTTATTTTCAGATTCATGCTCATGGATGAGCATCACATTCATTCTTATCAAAACATTATTAAAATGTAATAGGAAAAAACTGAGTTATACGAATTTCTGAACTATTTTACTTCTAAAGTCAACTAAAAAGTGTACATAAAAAATTATGCAAAAAGCTTCAGATGTTCCATAATCTAAAACACAATGGTGATTCCAACCTTCGCAGTTCATGTTTTGCAGGGTCCAGGTTTTGCCACTAGTTTTTTTATTTCCAAAAACTGAGCAGCCGCATCAGGAGGAACAGAGAAACTTAAGCTCAACTGTAAAATAAAAATTCTATTGTATTGAAAAATCTAAATACAGTATAGAAACAAGACATAGTTTATAAAAAGTGAAAATTTTCGTCTCAGATTACACTTCAATAAAAATATTTTGGAAAGAAATTCAAACAAAAACATGACAACTTAAACATAAGATTTTTTAAAATAAATCACATCTCTTTGTAGTTTAATAGTTCTTTTAATACAGACATTCAACATCAGATGTTTTCTTGATTACCAGACTAAAATCTCGATTTGTTTTCAAAGATAATATTTGAACTTATTCCGTTCAGTCCTATTTTTCAAAAATTCCATTATTTAAATCCTTTTCTAATATTAGCAATGTACTTAAATAATAGGTATAAAATAAAAATATGTGCTTGGACTTGTAATCAGTTAAATATAAAAAGCTTTCGTTTGGTAAAATATCATTCTTATTATTACTGATTTGTATAATGCGATTCTTCTAGTTCATGCTGATCCGCTAGTTTTTTAAATCCAAATTTATCAGTGGTATAGGAAGAGCACATATTTTTACAATTACTAATCGTTTAACAGCTTTAGATAGTGAGAGAGCAGATTCATTAATATGAGGAAAAAGCAATGACATAAAACTAGGTTTCTTCATGCAGTGGCATTAACTTTCCGTATATTACGCTTCCTGTCTCTAATGAGAATGAGTCTGCTTTGTTACCCTGAAAATATAAGCACTGACAATCTTTAAAATGAAACAGATATTTGCATGAATAGTAGCACTCATTGTTTATTTTTTTAAGAAAGGCATATAGACATATGGTAGAAAAATTAATTGTTGCTGTATTGTATGTAAGAATACCAAGCATATTGCTGAATGGCATTAGGCTGAAATTGACACTACATGATCAGAGTATTACATCGATTTGTAAACTGTCTGGAAAAAATCTTCATGGCTCATTAAAATATATTAGTTAGTAGCTCCCTAATCACATAAGCGCACTAGCGGCCGAGCGGTAAAGTCGCTGAATACTGGCAGTTCTTTCCGGAGCTCGAACCCTGCAAACGGGTAGTCTGCATGGGCGTTTTCTTGGTTTTTCTCTATGTGTAACGTGTATACGATCCAGTTTCCCTTAGAAAGTCCTCCAAGTGGTTTTCTCCACGAAGGCATCCTTCCTCTTAGGCAGAATATTCTCGAGTGTTTTGCCATAATCAAATAAACCAAATCAACCAAATCATTCACGTAGATTGCGGCAATGTTGCATAGCCTCCTAAAGAGTAGATTGGCAATAATTACGATATGTATGTCGTAAGCTGATTAAAATGTCTGCCTGCTTCGATTGGAAAATTTTCTAACAGTTTCTAATCAACTTGATATATTTTATGTTCACTGCAAAGAGTCCATATATACCTTTAGGCTAGTTAGAAAATAGTCAGTTGCTTTCTCTAACAGCTGGTTTCATTAAGGCTTATTGTAATGAAATCTTATCGCATGCCACCGTACTAGAATCAACACAGCGTTAAGTCAAAAGTCGGTCGAAATTTGTAAGGTGATATATGGCGAAGATTACCGCTCTTACTTCAGCTCTGCTTAGTACTAGCTGAATTGTGGGTTTTCTTTCTATGCAGCGTTCTGAGTAGTGAAATTACGTGCTTTCATTTCAGCGCTTTTTGTAATAAATCATACTTTTAAAGCCTAGTGGCACTGTGGGTTTTTATTTCACCTTGTTGCATGTCAAGATAGCTTCACTGTTAGTTTAAAAATCAAAAAGCACAAGATAGCAAACACTATAGTAACAAGGGTGAAACTGGATCACCAAGATGAATTTAATATCATGGCCTTAACGGGAAAAAATGAATAAATACTGTAACAAGAGTGACGATGTGGTTAAAACGCTGTAGAGCAATGCAAATGTAGAAGAAACCATCCATGAAATTTTACAATCTCGAAAAAAGAAGACTAGTAGTTAATTTGATAAACTAGAAACAATGACACAATAGATGAAAGGTGTTGATTTTTCCGATAATAATCCTATGTGCTGTATCTGACTTCGAATCTAAAATTTTCTGAAGAACACAAAAACCTTGTCTAAATCTTAAAGGTTTATTTAACTGGAACTTCAACACTGATGAAAACTTAACATCATAAACGAAAACTTAACATCTTGGGCGGAAAAACTTCAAAGTGCTTTAAAGTAACAGCTATACCGGCACGGTGAAGAACACTTTCCCTTAAAAGACAGAATCCATCTAGCCCTTTCGGCGTATATCTCCATTTCGCTGAATTCAGACATCCGCTCCTACGTGTTTTGGACTTAAACAGCCAGGCTGGAACTGGAATAGTACTGGATCAGGACCGGAACAAGACTGGAACAAGACGGGAACCGGAACAGGACTGGATCCGCAACAAGACGGGAACAGGAACAGGGCGGAAACCGGACTCTCTCATCCCCTGGCTTCTTCCCGGGCAGGTCTATTCTGGCTCAAACTAAAAGGAACTGCGGTGCCACTAAGGAAAGCACCTCCTTTTATTGCCGGCGGTTGCCGTTACTACAGGCGACTTATGCAAATATTTAACATCCTTCCACCTAAAGAAAAAAAAAAAAGAAAAAAAAGTGAACTTTCACATCAAAGTAAAACAATACCAAAGAGCCTTAATATGCCAATCTGTCCGCGGAGTTACAGTTCTACCAGATCGTGTTACAGGCCTGACAGATTTATCATCTATGTTGAGTTTTAAGTTCAGACAAAGAATCTTGTTTTTCATTCTGTTCTGCAGCTTCACGGGTACATCATTTTGCGCTACCTCTAAAGGATACAGAGTTCGAACTGCTCTAAGCAAGATTCCATTTCGGGTCTTTTACTCTTGCAAGCCGATTTATTCCATCAGGTCCTGGAAGTAGTTCTATGACACGACCAAGTTGCCAAAAAAGTCTTTTGTCACTACTACCGATCAAAACAATATCATCTAATTTAATAGTAACTTTCCTTTCAGCTCTTTTATGCGAAACCTTAAGAATTCCCAAATATTCTTTACGAAATCTATTTTTAAATGCTTCTGAAGCTCCTACAAAATTAGTTCCATTATCACTGTACACAGTTGTGGGTTTACCTCTTCGTGACACGAACCGATGAAAAGCCTGAAGAAACACTTCTGTAGATAGAGAAGTCAGCAACTCCAAATGGACCGCTCTATAAACGGCGCACATGTAAAAGCACAAGATCCATGCCTTTTCTTTGTTTCTCAACAATAAAGGACTACAAAAAATCTTTATGTACCCGTTACTTGAAATACTGCTGAATCATTTACTCGCTCTATTGGCGGTGGGGCTGATATGTGGTCAACAGGTACAGCAGAATATCTCTTGCACAAGTAATGCATTTACTCAAAACAGAACGCACACGTTCTTCTGCCAGATAACAACCAAAACCTTTCTCTTAAGGTATTCAGTATATATTGTACACCTGCATGTCCTTTCTTTTTATGTTCTTCCATAATTAAATTCCTAACTAATGGATGTTCTCCTGATAATATTATAGGTGTTCTAAACTCTAACGTGTCAATCTCTTCGAAACGCACCAGTTTTAATTCTTACAATTCCCGCATCATAAAATGGACTAAGAGTTCGTAAGCGTGCGTCTTCTATATCCTGAAACGATTCCGATTGAATCAAGCGAATAATAACCTTTTCTGCAAAATCAAGTTCATCAACACGTGAGTTTCACCTTTCCTTTTTTTCCTTATTTCTGCAATTAAAGAAAAATCGTTGAATCCAACCAACAACTCTAACTGTTTTTTCGATAGCTAGAAAATCGCTCACTCAAACCTAAACCTTTCAGTAGACACTAGAGATGAAACCACTGCCTTTTTTTTTCTCTCGCTGGCTATTTCCGCTTCATCAGTTACTAAATTCGGCACTCGGCCAATTTTCTTGGGATTTTAAAAGCCAGCTCGGACCCTCCCACCATTTTGACTGGAGAGTTGGCGAACTGAACACCCCCTCTACTTGGAAGATCTGGAGGGTTAAGGTGACCAGGTATATGCCTCCAATCCTCCACACGTGTGAAAAGCCTTATTTCCTGTACTCTATTTTCTTTTCTACAAATGTCCCCCATTGTTCTTCCCTTTTTATCCATGCAAGGACAGTAGTTGAATCTGTCCAGAAAAATATACTTCTGGCCTCAAAGTCTTTTTAGAACGTCTGCAGCAAGACGAGATGCAATAGTTGCTGCTAACAATTCTAATCTTACAATAGTAGTTTCCTTTTTACCACAAGGGGAAACTCTAGACCTAGCCTGAAGCAACTGGTACTTTAACTGATTCGATGTTCTTCTACACGAATAAAAACTACTGCCGCATACGCTGCTTGACTGGCGTCACAGAAAACATGGATTGAACACTGTTTTGGCTGATATCGTATCCATCTTGGAATTTTAATGTTTTTCAAAAAAAAAAAGAGAAATGTCTTTTACCCATTTCAAAAATTTACTTTTAATTTCTATATTAACTTCTTCGTCCCATTTTACTTTCGTTTCCCATGTACGCTGTAATAACATCTTAGGTAATATAAGGACTGGACATGTTATAACCGATGGGATCAAATACTTTATGGGCTATTGCCAAAATACTTCTTTTCGTAACTTTCTCGAAACAAAGATTTTGTAAATTAGCAACATTTATTTGAAGAGTAATCGCCTTGTCTTTCCCATAACAAACCTAATACATTCGCAATAGTTTCTGTTTCCCAAACTACAGTCGGTATATTCCCAACCCCGTAATTCAAATTTTCGTTCTGCCATAACATCTGAAGATACTTTCATGAAGCGCTGTAATTCATCTTCACTTCCGACACTTGTTACACAGTTATCAACATAGAAACTATTCATTAATTTAACAATAATGTTGGAAGAATATTTTAATCTGCAATCATTTTTCTCCAAATTGAATTTAAGTGATATTGAATAACAGCTCCCAAGTAAAAATGGACTACTGGTTTACACCAAATACGACTCGACAATGACGAAAA